TTATAATAATACACATAAATGCAAAGAAATACATCTAAATTATTATATAGTTTTTATATAGGGTTTTTTCGATACCTAATAACGTAAATAGTTAAAAAAAAAGTATTGAATATCGGTACAATGCACACCTCTGTTCATAATAAATCTCCCTTAGTCAGGATCACGATCTACTAAACCAATGTTCTCGCAAGGGCACGTCTCGAAGCTGCGATGATGATTAATAATGGGAGGTAGGGAGGGTGGTTGTACTGAACGGTACATTTTTTATCCGCGTTAATACGAGACTACTTTCGTATCGTCGTAACGAGAACGCAGAAGAAGACGGGAGGATGGAAAGAAGGGTGGACGGAGGGGGGAATGGAAAGGGTGAGCCGACAGGGCAATGCATCAGCGGTTAATGAGCAAACTTTAATATTCTCCCGGACTAAAACCCACCCCTTACCACCACCTATCTTCCACCGACCACCAGCCAGCCCCTATGTTCCGGAACTCGAAAGAGGGGAAGCGCGCGGAGAAGAGGTGGGATGACACGGCAAGCGCGATGCACACACGACTGCCATAATTATTGTGCGCCGACGGAAGAAGGACGAAACAACGACGAATAAACGGGGTCGAAGAGCTTGGGTTGTTTGACGCAGGAAGGGTAGTGAGATAGTTGGATCGCGGCACGCAACGCGGAACGTTCTTTTGGCGGAATTCGGCGTCAAAGTCATCTGCGTTCATTAATTTCAGTGGGAGGTCCAATTAGAGTGGTCGTGTCGCGTCAGTTGAACCCTGATACGTTAAAAAGGGAGCCGCTATCACGGTGACGATGATTAGCAAGCTCTTTTTTTTTCAACGCAAATTAAAATCTCGGTAAATAAAGTCTTGCTCGGCTTATCTACGTTTTATTGCTGCGTTTTAACACTTTACAGATTTACATGCCTCAAATTTATCACTTTCTTTAAAAAGTAAAATTTTTGTTTCTATCTAACCTTGAATGTCGAAATATTGCTTTCATCTTTATTTTTATCACATAAATATTAAAGTGAATTTTTTTAATTACTCACAAAAAATCTAAGATATATTTTAGTTAAATTTTGAACAGTTGCAACTCAATTTAAGATAATACTATAAAAAATAACATGCGCACCGCCGCTACAGTATAGAGACATACTGAAAAGAGGCTGTTTTACTTTCTCTCCTTCTCTACTTTCACGTCGTACATTCTAAAAGGGATGTTAAGCTCGAATATGAAGCTTTTTCGTACGTATCAGCAGGAAATTTTGCAGCGCTACGAACCAAGAATGTGTTAACGACTTACAGGAGAAATGTGTGTGAGAGAAATTGGAACGGGAAGAGTGCCTACTTCGCACACTACAACAGTGATGTACTGTCTTTTACAATTACCGATACAGCGCGGTTCTGTAATAGCGATAGTGCAGATAGTTTCAATTCGCTTCTACGCAGAAAAGTCCATACATAATATCGGAGGTATAATTTCGCAAAATGAAATTTCATTATACCGAAATACCAACCGAACGAAATTTTCATTATTTGATTATGAATCCCCAGCGAACATCCGCATTAATACTGGAATGTTAACAAGAAGTAATCACCAAATAACATTAATATGGTTTTATACGTAATATCAAGGGATTCAGTTACCAATCGCTAAGATAGCTGAAATGTATTGCAAAAATAATTACTATTCGTTAAAAGCTTTATTATTTGCGTGTAATACAATTATTAAAAATGTTAAATGAAGAAAATTTAATTTGTATTTTGAAATACAATTATGTATAATTGTCAACAAAACATGTGTTTTTTTCCATGTTTCTGTACCTCGTATATTTTTCCCCATTTTTTTGTTCAATATTCTTTTCTATATCATATATCATACGTGTTGTATGTCTACTCCATTCCACGACATACACGTTATCACACACAGACAGGTCGATGTCTGTGGTGAATGTCGGCCCGGCCAGGTGTGACATCAAGGTCCACTGAGCTAGCATAGATCCCGCGTTAGTCGGCATTTTTCCAAGCGACTTTACGTAAGGGGATTAAAGCGAAATCGAGCTTTAAATTGATAGACAGAGAGAAAGAGAGAGAGAGAGAGAGAGAGAGGCAGTGCCATTGATCGGAGTCGGTTTCACTTAAATCGCCGATGATGCATGCTAACTGGCAGTCGCGCCCATTAGTGATCGATCTCCCGAGCGGAGATTGTCTATAGGTCCATACATGACCACGATGCTCGTAATTGGCTTCATCGGCATAACCAGCTGTTGTGTCTGGCGTCTTTCATCATTCAAACGGAACAGCTTGTTCCTTCACAGACTCAGCAGATATATGAAAGTAACGAGCTAATTATAGCCTTAAATAAAAATGAAGTTTAAAAGTATAAATTTTCTTTCGGAAAAGAGGAAATTATAAAATTACGAGATATAAAGCTAGTAAAGCTAGCTTACTTAATTGAGAGAGTTATTTATTTATATTTACGTTTTTTAATAAAAGAATATAACTTTCGTAATTCTTTACAGCTCTATATCATGCCAATTTGTCTAAATCAAAAATTCCAAACTACATAAAAAATTTCTTGCAAAAAAATTATTTTTTCTATTAGGTTACTATGCAATATTCATTACATAAAATTAATTACATTCAATTTCAAGACAATTCTCTCTGTTTAAAATAAAATAAATATGAAATATTGATAATATTGCGTTCTTTGTTATCTTGCGTTTGGTTTATACAAGAACATTTGCAGTTAATCGTTAATTTGCATACTAGCGTACTCGAAGATAATTTAATTAAAATTATAATGATATATTAACTGATAGAGATCCCTTTACAGTAATGCATCAGTGATATCGCGCATATTTTATATACCAGTACAATGGTCGCATCTAATAATTTATGTATCGTCGACGATGCGTTTTCAGAGAAACGGCTAACCGACATTACATAATTCATTGAATTTATACGAGCAGGATAGCAAACTGTATGGACTATAACGTCATAAATCATGACGGGCTTAAAACAAGAAAAATCGAAGGACGACGGCAGAGCAATATTTTTCGTCAAGAATGTTTTCAGCATAATATAATATTTTTCAATAACATAAAAGTGACGCAAATATAAGTACTTTAAATTAAATATTCATAGTAAGTATAATTGCTAGAAAATTTCGCTATAAATATATATTTCTTTTTAATCAGAAAATTCTTGTTAGTTAGAATTTTTAATCAAAAATTCACTATTTATTTTTCTTGTTCTATTAACTTCATTAAAATATGTAATGAATTTTGGACTAATCGTAAATGCCAAACCATGTAACAAAAGTTTGTAATTTTAATATATAATAAATATTGCAATCTTTCTTTTGATCTTTACACATCCAAGAATAATTGGAGTCGTATTAAGAGTGTTAAATGCAATGCATGCACCATATGTGGAAATCGCTCCGAGGATTCATTATCGGAGCGGTTTCGTCGAGTTGCGTGGCACCATAGAGACATGCACGCTCTGCAGAGTGCTGTGCATTATAGATTATTGTTGCCCCCATTGCTACACAATCTACATAGATATACGTTATCCAACCGTCTCGCACCCGGCGTGTTCCATCACGAGCGCATTCGCAGCGGACGTATGCGATCGAGCACATCCATATAGAACGTTATAGCCATGTACTAACTTTGAACGATACACGATCGAAAAAACAAATTTCTCACCTTTCTATCCTTTGTATCTGGTTTAATACATTGCGAGAAAACTGCTTTCGATTATTTAAAAAAAAATTAATAACTGTTTGACTTTATATCGCTTCATTTTTAATGCTTTCAATTACATTTTATTTCACATTAAGTAATTTCTTTTGTTTTATAATGATAATGCAACATAGACCTAATAGTTCGGTCCTTTACATCTCATTTGCGATGGTTCTGGCTATGGACGAAATGAAGACTTATAATAAATAATTGGTCTTAATCGCATTGGGAACAGAAGTATATAATAAACTACAATAAAAATATCATATAATTTTGAACTATCCCATGCAAAGTATATCTCGGTACATTCAATTTGAAGTATATATCAGGTCCCAAAGATGACTGTATTAATAATTTAAATAATAAAAATTTAAATACTCGCAAAAATTTTAACCGCTCGTGAGACATGAGTATAGCGATATCCATAAAATTTTCAGTTGCTTTTAATATACGGCTGGAATTCGGCAGTGTTCTATTTTTTTTACCAAAATAAAATATTTTTTCAAACGAATCCACATGACAGACGATATTGCTATAACTAAAATAACAGCCTTATTTCACACGCAAATTTCCATTTCGGTGGAAACCCCACGTTTTCGCATCCTCTCGCGTGATTTACATCTGGCTTGCGACCAACTTTGCTCGTAATTATCCGCGTAATTCGACCGATCGAACGATATGCTCTCGAATATCGCGATATAAAACAAGATGCATTAGATGCAAGCTATCACAGAATTCACGAACTTAATTCCACTTTTCATTTTAATTTTAAATAAAATCTAAATTCAAATCTAAAGTAATTTGTCAACCATAATATTCTTCAATTTTAATCTAAATAACGATTTAAAAATAATTTTTAACTTGCAGTATCGCTGCTGCAAAAATTAAAATTAATTAAAATTAATTAAAATTAAAATTAATTTTTGCAGCAGCGATACTGCAAGTT